TCCCCAACACTTCATCTAAAAGCACATTAAAACATCAGGCAGCATATAGCGGTGCATCTTCAGCAAGCTAAGACTAAGCTAAATTGATTTCCATTACATCTGTAAGCTAGCCAAACTGTAAGCAACTTTATCACCCTAAAGTACTTCTTCAGCTTTATTGAGAGTATGGTAAAGGCTGAGCAATAAGAAAACCTCTGTGCACCTCCCAAAAATTTCTCCAGAAAGCAAAATCTTCCACCTCTAAGCAACTTATTTAAATGAGGACTGATCAGTACTTTAGTTACTGAACAGCCTGGAGACACACAGTGTGGAAGCAGCAATTTATGGGAAAGGAAGCCCTCCTTGTCTCTCAAGGAAGGCAGTTCTTTCTCTTTAACGGCCTAGTTCAGAGTTTTTCATATTACTGGCCAATAACAAAGATCAAGTTGTTTCTGACCATACAACAAGCTTCCTTCCTGTTAAAATGGCAGTGAGATTTAACTCCTGTTTTATACTCCCTGGCTTTAGGAAATGCAAGCTTCTTGCTGTGTAGCAGAAACAACTATCTCCTGAAACATTTACTTTTGTTTGCTCGTTTGTTCATTGTTTTTGAGAAGTTGTGAAATGTTTTCAAGAAGCTTGGTCCACAGATCCTTCTTCTATCTCCCTCAATGCAAAAACAACAGTAGAAAGAACACAACCAATAATTTAAGCTACAAGGCCACTACAGGGCATTCTAAGGACTTCTTGGTAATTTTGCTGTTTTCAAAGTGTCCCTCTGCATAGCTAGGTTGGCTGAAAACATCAACAGTATCAAAACATGCCATGCTCCACAAAGCCTCCTCCTTCTGTGCCCTGTCATTCTCCATTTATTTCACTAATCACTGTCTGCCTTCCTTGTCCTAAATGCCATTATGCACTTTGCACAAAACAAGTGAAAAAATAAAATCCACTCATATCTGGTCTAAAGATCCAGCACATGTCTCAATTCTGACCTGCTATCACAAACCTCTGTCACTCTGGCTTTAAATTTACACACAGTATAGCTGAGGGCATTCACAAGCACTGACAGGAAGAGTTAAATCATGGATCTACATTTCTGCTGAAGTCACTCTTCTGTGTTCTCAAGCATAAGCATAGAAACCTCACCAAAAAGCCAATGTAAACAAAGCAAAAACAAAACAAAAACCAAGACAAAACTGACATGACCAACATAAACCTTCCCTGCCAAACACCTAGGACCTTCTGTATCACTGTTTTATTTACACGTCAAGACTATATAGCACAACTTATACTGCTGCCTTCACAATGTGCTTGAGAACAACAGGAATGGTTCCAAGGCAACCTGCCCCATCTGCTGAGCATCCAGCTAGGATGATGAGCTAGACCAGCCCAGCACAGGCTGGTGCTGGGACAAACTCCTGAGGCTGCAATCCTAAATGCTGACCACAGACGGTCAGACACAGCAAACAGAAGGCTATTTCCTGGTCACTTCTTACAGTTGAGAACAAACATATAAAATCAAAATGAAACTGAGCAGAGTTCACGGGTTCATTTACCACTGCTGAATACATTGACACATGAGGCAAGAACTGTATTCTGCTAATTCCTGTCTGCTAGCACCTGGCTCTGCATAGCCATTGCAGCCATCAGGAAGTATCAGAAAACACAAACTGATCCTAGGAAAATCCAGACATTCACCCTGCCTCAAACATCAGGTTTCCCCTATGAAGAGAGAAAGAAGAAGGAGCTAGCAGATCTGCATGGAAAATGAACGTACTCATCCTTCTGCTTTGGGAACACTCCAAGACAAACACTATTAAAAAACCTACCATGCCAAACACATGCTGTTCAAATCTGAGAATTTCTATACTCATCTTTGTATACTTTCATAATACAGGAAAAGCAATTTCAGTAAAGAGGGCAGAAATGCACTAATTACACTATAAATAAATACTTCATCCAGAGAGCAACAGACATCAATAGGGAAGAGGAAAAAAAAACAAAAAAAAAAACCACAACAAGATGAAAAACAAACCCCTTTTAAATACAGCACTTTGGAAAGTCATGCAAAAACAGGGACAATCTAGAAAACAATAAAGCAAATTATTTTGATCAAATTACTTACTAGTGTTAAGAGGAAACATGGATCCTCTTGTGGAATTAATTCTGTGCTACTAAAAAGTACAAACTTTGATTTAAAGTAAAACATAGTGGTACCTTTGCCGTTAAACAGCCACCTTACACACAAGAAAAACTGAAAGCCTGCTTATCAAAACAAAGGCAAGATGTTTACATACTGACAACAAAGAGTTGATGTTTGCTGCTGCAGTAATAATTAAGTAGCTGTTCCAGTGACAAAAACAGCATACACCATCCAAATGAACTCTTAGTTGTTTGGGTTTTTTACAACTTAAATATTTAATCTTGTAGTCCAGCTACCACTTCAGTCTTTCATCATTAGCCAGGACTTAGGAATTTCCCTTTCCTTTCTGAGACTCTGATATTAAATAAGATGTCAACTGTTCCCACTTCAACACAATTATGCCAGTCATCCTTACATGGAACACTGTCTACTGAAGGAAATCCTTGTCTAGTTAAAGTGAGAAAATCTTGGTAGAACCAGCACCTAGAGTTCTCATACCTGGAAGATCAGAAGTTACATACAAATCCTTAAATTTGGATGAACTCTGTGGACCAGGCATTTTAAGCCATTTGTATGGGTTTGCCATTCCCCAAGAAATGTAAATATGATTGGAATAAAGACAAAATTGGTCAGATACCCAAAACTAAGTATTTTAAGGACCCCTGAATGCCATTTTTCCATGTAAGACTTCATTCCAGCAATAAACATCATTACATACAAGCTCAGTCAACCCTCAGTCTCAATTATTTTTCTCTACTCTTCCAATACCCGTAAGGAACTTTCCTGAAGTCAGCAAGACTCAGCACAGATGCCAGAATTACTCATATAAATTACGCATATAAAATAAATGTAAAAGTAGAATCAGGGCCTAAGGACATAAACTTAATCCAGAGAAGAAAAAAATGCATCGGCAAAGTACCATCTGAAAATAATGTTACATGAGCAAATAGGTCAGTGGGTTTCTGGTTTCCTGCCTTAAACCAGCAATTGATTTATTACTGCTAGGAGATATATTTTCCTTGGTGTACTACTGTAAAAAGTAAAATAAGACCGCATTTTAATAAAATAAAAAAATGAAGCTCAAATAGCGTATTCTAGGAGTGTTTTAAAGAAAAGCAAAATATAAACTGTAACCCCTGATATACAGTTCTGAGAGTTAATTCGTTTCAAGCACATGATAGAGACACATCAATGTCAGGTAGAAAAAAATTCAAGTAGTGTTACCTATTTGATCTTATATCTCTTCTTACCCTAAATACTCACTTCCCACCATTTCTTACTATGAATTAACAGTATTGAAATACATGATTATGAAGTTCTTGTTCTGGTTGTCTTGTGTAATTTTTTCCAGCTGGGAAAAAATAAGCACGTCATTCATGGTGTTGCTGCAAACCACATCTTGTATTGTCAGGTTTTTGTTGGACAATACAAAATCTCTGTCCCACACACTTTGCTAGTTCAATTCTACCAGTCCAACTAAACACCTTAAAGGTGAATTCTGCAATTCTTGTAACTCGCCTATAATTATTAGGCAACGCAACCAATAACAATCAGATACTCCAGTTTCCATAACTCAAATTACTTGTTCCTTTCTTTTAGCAAAAACTTATGTTCTGTATTGGTGAGACATAAGAATACCAAGTGACACCCACAAAGTAAATTCTAGTCAAGGAGACATCAGCGCAAGATTAAGGTCATAGGTTCATTGTACAGGTATCACAAACACAACTACCAAGGTCTCAAAGATCACTCTTGCTGAGGCCAAATAAATCCGAAAGAGTCACCAGATCCCTTACTCCTGGTTATTATTTGGCAGTAAGAATAAGAGACGGTATCTTCGGAAAAATCAAAATGAGATTTGTGCATGTATTACATTAGGAAGATCCAGATTTCTCTCACTCTTCTGTAACTCAAGAAACAGTATTAATAAGTTTTGCATTCGACTCCAGTTTACTGAAGAGAGAAACTGGGATGGGACCAGTCCCCTATAATCCATCCACTGGGATGGCACAGTCCTACAAAATTTGTCCAAGGTGATCTTCTGAGGTCCCTTCCAACCTGGGCTGTTCTGATTCTAACTTGCCTTCATCATGACAGTCTACATGCACTATATGTATCTACAACTGCAGACGCCAAAAAAGGCAATGCCTACCAGCTCCCCTGCACAGGAAACCCATAGCATAAGAGGGAACCTGAGTGTCTTTCACAGCAGGTAGGCTGGATTCCCTAAACATGCTCCAGAGACTTTCCACAGACATGCTCCACTTTGCAAGCTCCTCCAAGGGAGCATGGACAATACCATAGCCTCTCCTATCATGGTTTTTTTGTTCTGCTCTTTTCTGAGGAAAGAAGGGTCATCTCATACACTGAGTAATATAATCACAAACAACACTGGCTTCAGCACAGCCACTCGTACATCCATTCATGCTCTATTCTGGAGATTACCATCAGAGCCAGTAACTGCCAGCTATGAGAACTGTTTGTTCTGATGAACAGCATTAGACCTGTCTGTTCTCCTGTCTCACGTTCAGTCGAGATCTGGCAGTGCTTTCAGAAAAGCTCTGATAGAACTACCTGCAAGCACTGCCTGATCCCAACTTCAGCTTGCTGAAAGCAATCCCCAAGCGTGGTTGTTAACAGGAAACATCAGAGGTCATACTACCTCTTTAGAAGTGCTGTGAGAGGAAGCCATTACACACAGTCCTGTGTAATTTTAAAATAGATTATGAGGAGAAAAACCTCAACTGGAGATTTTATTGTTCTCTGTTGGAAACAGGTCCTCCAACTTGCCCAAAGTAAAGCAGGCGCCTGCCTGGAGCTCCCCAGAGATTCAGTTATTCCAGTTTAGCACGCTACTATCCCCCCACCCCCATACCTGCTCCCGGGGCCCCAGAGCAGCCAGACTTGGTACCTCGCTGGTCCATCCCAGGGGAGAGCTGGGAGGCCGGCTCACCTGGGGCTGGGGCCTCTCCAGCGCAGCCCTCACCCTCTCCGCTGTGCTTTGGTCTCTACGGGTCTCGCAGGGCCAAACACACCGAACACGGCACTTGTCACCCACCGAAGTGCACCTATTTAGGTTCTGCTCTTTGGCTGAGGAATAACAAACAAACCCTTTCCCGTTCACGCCCGGGTTGGTTCAGCGACCTTTCCGGACAGGGAAAAAGGGAAGGGCCGGGCCGGGCCTCCCCCCCGGGCTGCCCC